CAAGTCCACGATCAGACGCTGGAGAGGATCATGGATAAGATGGCCGCAGGACCAGGTACGTTCCTCCAAGTCACCCTGACCATACGACCAAGTTGAGAAAGCAAGGTTAAAACACTTCCAAACGTAATTCTTACTCAACCTTCAACCGCCATTCTCCACATTTAACGCATTCCCTAATCTATTAATCTCAATAGTCTCTCCTATCTTCCTTTTAACAGCATACATACCATACTCAGCAAACCTATTGGTTTTAAACATTTCTATCTCATATGAAGTATATTCACCCTATTTCGTTTAGGGTGTTGAAGGACTGGTAGTTGATTTTTTTTCACAATGTTATGACCTTTCCATTGAATTTCACATAGCCTTGCTTTCCCAAAACGTATTCCTATCCAGGGTTAAATGTAGTTTCCATCTCGCATAGGTCTTATCAACACCCCCAGCAGAAGAGTTAACTTTCCTTATATAATTTCTGGAAAATTCAGCTATCAGTTTTTCGTCACCTTAAGCAATATAGGGTGAATGCACCTCATATGAATAATGTACATGTAGTATAGAAACCATACTTATAAACGAAAAATTCTAAGTCATATCCAGCCTCTGAGAACTTTGGACACAACTGCACTTACTAGTATTTTATGCTCACTTAATCCTTTGTGAATAGATCGAAATATCCCAGCAATATAAGGTTGATCACAGTAGCACATAATCTTGTGACAGCCGGATCTCGAAAATGGGTCATTGTTCTCTCTAGAAGATGGCATAATCGAGGAAAGTGTGAGGGTTTCTTTGAATACTGTTTTTAACCCCCCACTTTCTCATTCGTTCGCCTATTTCCTTAAAAGGAACGCATGGCAGCAAAATTAAAACGTGCAAAAAGGTCTCATAATTGCTGAGCTTACTTCCATTTCGAGTGAAAGTATTGGGTGAAGAGATTCAAAGGTCGGTTCCATCAGAAGACGACAGCAAATTCCTCCTGACCAGCTGTCGATTGGCTTTACTAGAAGATTCATGCTGACTCTGTTTCCGAGATAATCTCCTTCGATTCCGGCGAAAAAGTGCTAAGCTTTCGTCCGTTATATGAGGAACATCAT